TGGCGGCCGCCTGCTGCATTTCGCTATATTTATTTTTGCTAACACATCAGATAGGGTTCATGCATAATTGAATTCTGCAAAAAATGAGATGATCGTAACTTTAAGAATTTGAGTTGGATGAGATCTTTTTATTATTTTGTCCAGTCATCGCGGATAACCTCATTATGCGGTGAATTTTATAGGATCGGCATGGTTTAGGGCTGATGTTGAAATTATTTTTTGCAGTTTTGTCGTTTGAAGCTCCTTACTTCACGGTTAAAATGAACGCCGAGTTTGCAGCTGGAACTATTGCAGGAATTGTGAAGGCGTAGACTTGAACTGTGGTTGTCCGCAGCGCGATGTTATGAAAGAGGGATATGGGTCAAGCTTGTTGACCGAGCCAGCACGGATCGCCGACATCGTTGCGACCACTCGGCGTCGAATTTCGCGAGCAGACTTTACTGTAAGTTTTGACGGCATCACTTTTTTATCATTGTTTTTTACGAATTGTTTTTTTTTCCACAAGTCCTTACTTTAGGTTGCTTGGGATACTGGTATAGGATTCAGTAATAAATGGCGGCGTCTAACGGGAGGCAGCGTAAATGTACGTGTTTTTTGTGAGAAGCTGTTGTTAGCTTGTGGTAGGTGAGTATGATGAAGTATGCAGAACTCAGATTTAACTCGTTACAGCTTTCTGCGTACTGCGCCTTGCTAGATGAATGTCGCCCCCTAGTAAGTGATATCTGCGAAAAGCTAAACGGTCGCTCTGGGAGTCGTCGAACAGATGGCACATATACATCGGACAGGTGGTGAGTATTAACAGCATATGTGCGGTTCAAAATCGAAGGGCCAAACATAGCTGCCCTCCGGCTTATAATAGCATCCTAGTAATATCACTAACATACGATGCCCGCACTGATAGCTTGGATTATTTCGGTATTTTTATATTGCATGACACTCACTGAATCTCCAGATTTTTGCTTTGTTTTGGAATATAGTGCCAGTTTTTACCTAAATTTAAGATCAGAGGACAGTTTTAAGTCGAATGTATGGCTTGCTTTCTCCCAACACAGAGGGGTTTAAAATTCGTTTTTAAGTTGTCGAGAAATAAATCAGAAACTCAAAGTTTAAATCAGACTCTTAGAATAAGTCCCAAATGATCTGGTCAAAATATTGTAAAAATTGCCAGAAAACTCTTATCTGTGTTACGCTGAATGAATGTCAGTGGGACATTTTTATGAGTATGAGGGTTTTAGAGGGTGAAAAGGAAAATTATTTGTCATGTGCTACTAGCAACTGTTAAAAATTGTCGTTTTCCCTTTTCCTCCCCTCCTTTTTCTTACCCTCAAAGGTGCATTACCAGTACAGAAGCAAGCAAAGAATGAAGCTTTGGCGTTCTCTTACACATAACTTACAGAATGTCCATATTTTAGATTTCCATTAAAATCCGATTAAAAGCAAGTCAGCAGCTAACTCTGGAAACGTGTCGTCGAGCCGAAAGCGCAGGCGTATCATTTATAACAGTGCATGGGAGAACTCCTGAACAACGCTCGGAACCAGCCGATTTTGACATGATAAAGCTGATCAAGTCAAGTTTGTCGATCCCTGTGATTGCAAATGGCGGTGTGAAAAGTTACAAACAGGCACTGGAAATTGCGAAATACACGGGAGCAGATGGTATCATTCTCTTATAATTATTGAGAGTTTAATTTTTTCGAAACGTATTGTACTGCGCACGCATCTGAGCTAATTATTGTTTTTTTGCGTTTTTTGCAGCTATGCAATGCAGAAACGCATATTGGCGAGAGGTTGTCTGTGTGTGTGTGTGTGTGTGTCTGTGTCTGTGTCTGTGTGCGCTGCGCGTTGTACCGATTTTTCATCTCGAGACTAACAAAAGCTACAGGGCTGAAACTTGAGGAACTTAATCCACATACGTGTACGGGCCCCCATTTCCGAAATGGGTGCTTTTGCCCGCGTGGTATTCACGTACGGGCCGGCCAAAATTTTTTTCGGGCAAGTTGCTAACTCGGGAACCTGAGAAGCTAGAATACTGGAATTTTAAGAGGATATTCCCCGTCCCAGTAGGTATTAACGAATTCAAATCCAACCCTCTGATGTGCGTAGTACCCACGTGCGGGCCCGGCAAAATTTTTTTCGGGTAAGTTGTTAACTCGAAAATCTGAAAAGATAGAAGGCTGAAATTTTAAGGAGATGTTCTCCGTCTAAGAAGGTATTAATAAGCTCAAGCTCAGCTCCCGGCTATGCGTGTTACCCATGTACGAACCCGCCAAATTTTTTTACGGGCAAGCTGCTAACTCGGAAACCAGAGAAGCTGGAAAACTTCTTTAAGGGGGTGTCCCCCGTCCATGCAGGTCTTAATGAGTCCAAAACCAGCTTCTGGGTATGCGTGGTTCCCGCGTACGACCTGCGGAAGTTTTCGGGTAAGTTGCTAACTCGAGAATTTGAAAAGCTAGAAGACTGTAATTTTAAGAAGATATTCCCCGTCCACGTAAGTCTCAATGAGCTCAAATCCAGATACCGTGTATGCGTGGTACCCACGTACGGGCTCGTGAAAGTTTTTTTCGGGTAAATTGCTAAGCTAGAAAACTAAAATTTTACGGGGGTGTTTTCTGACAATTCTGGCGACCATTTTTGATTTGTTTAGCTAGAAGCGTTTGCTGAAAAAACCGGTGCCGGTAGCGACAATAACTGCAGGGGACTATGCAAAAAACTTATTTTCGCACGGGCAGCTTGTGCTTTGGCCAGTTATTTACTTTATGTCGCATCTTTCGCGTTCTGATGAGTTGGCACTGAAGCTGAGAATATGTATCCGTCGAAAATACTTTATGCCGAAATCATCGGTACTCGAAAGCGATACTTTTTTGAAGCGCGTATTGTCTTCCGGAACTCACATATAGGATGGAGCATGGGGAAATTGGATTTGGCTTTGCTGGGTACCGGGAAAGTTGTGTCCCATGAAGTACGCGACAGTGTTATCATTTCACTTTCAGGCATTATGTCAGCAAACGGACTGCTCGAAAATCCGGCAATGTTCGCTGGCTATTCCCTTACACCGAAGCAATGCGTTTCCGATTGGGTACTTTTATTGGATTTTTTGATAGTAGGGCAAATAGCCTAAAATGTTTTTGCTTCGTATTTCAGATTCCTTATGCTCAGAGACCTCTCCGCATTCACTTTCAATAAGAGGTGGAAACGCTCTTAAAGTATTCTAAATGATTGCAAATGCTAACAGCAGCCAGCCGCTGTCCAGCTTGTAGATGGCTTTCTCTTTCGAGGTTTGCTTACATGCGGGGTTGTGGTGGGTTTAACTCCTGGCATGTATCAGTATCACTTTACCGTCAGAGCGAATGTACGAATCGATTTTCCCACTGGCGGTGTCGAATCTTGAATGGGGTTGGTTTTCCTAGCGATGGAGAGGAACCTTCGATCTACTGCGCGATGGCAGTGCTGCCCCGCAGTATTTTTTTATTATGCTTTTGTTCGATATTTTTTAAGGGACAATTTTGGGTATATCGATTTACAAATGGAAACTTCGCAAATTCATGAAATTTTTGTTTGATCCTCGTATTCTTCCTGCTTTGCCGGATGCTCATATTTTTGTGTAAATATATTTTGTCTCTCATACTCCCGTCTCAAACTCCCCTGAAGAATGGCCTTAA